ACCATTTGCGTACATCTCATACTTACATAATATATATATATATATATATATATATATATATATATAGTTAATACAATAAGAAGCGAAATCTAACCTTTACAAATTAGTACAAAGAATAAAATGATCGATCTTGTCATTGTTAATTATTTTGGAATATGATTAATATAAGAATTCATCCCTTAATTAATTTTTGTTCTTATGAAGGGATTGATCCTACATTCCTCATGTTTAGTACTTTATTATCAAAATCATGGTAAAATGGCCTAAATCCATCTTTTTAAAACAAAGTTAGGCATAATCTAATGCTAGATAAGCACTCTCTAGCTAGTTGCTTTATTTTATTTTGTTCTCTTTATAGATAAATTCTCTCTTGAAGAAAAATTCCCATTTTATATCTTTGAAGAACCTTAAGACACTCAAATTTTAATAAACCCAAATATCCAATGAGTTTTGTTGTATTATAATACAAGTATAATGGAGAATAAGTTCGGCCACACAGGCATGAGAGAGGGCATTGGTTATTTAAGAAACTACTACTTAAATTAAGAAGGATAATCATTTGGAATTTACTCATTGCAAGGGGAAAAAGGGGAAAACACCACCCCCCCCCCTCCTCTCTTTCTTTAAAGATGTAAGCAAAGATTACAAGGTGCTCCATTTTCTTTTAGATCATATGCATGGAATCCAGTTGCCTCTCCACTTTGAAAATTAAACGGATCTTCCTCTCAAGCACTCTTTAACAACTTTGGAAAGATGGTTATACCGTTAAAGCGTCTAAATACATGGGCAAGGAGTTTATCAAAATATATTATGGCATTTTCGCATTTTACTTTTGTTCCCCAGCATTCCTAATTTTGTTCAGTCATTAGATCAAATAAATCAAAAGAAAATAAACAAGGAGAGAGTTGTAGAAAAGAAAATGAAAACTTACATGAAATGTGATGAACATATATGATGGTAGAGGTAAAATGACTAATAATAATAGTTCAATGGGAAAATTGGCCAAAATAAAGATTCAAGCAAATCAAAAAAAGATAAGAGTTGAAGAGGAAATCGTCCAAAAACTCAAAATACAAAACTTTGGAGTAAATTGCATATTCACTCAAATTTTATAGAAGCATCCTCTTCACATAACCTAATACTAGCAAACACATCTATAATAGACTTCCAACGTGATTACATCCTAAACCCTATTCAAATGTGGAATCTTTGTCTAAATTAGGGCTAAAGCATCTACTCGCATAAATTAAGTTGTGCTTTAAATTCGATCTATACATAATTTTTTTTAATACAAGAAATAGGTGTGAAATTCGAAACTAGAACCTCTGGTGCAAAAGTAAAACCCTCTTAACCATAACCACAATCCCCTTACCATCCGTACATAATGCATTCAAGTGAATAACGAGAGAATATATAAGCATAGGGGCTTTTCCAAATATATTACTATATATTTAGGAGAGAACCTACATTTCTTTTAGTGATTGAGATAGGTCGTTCCTTTATTCTTTTAAAGAAGAAATTACATTAAAGGATGATATACAAATATCTTGCTTAATTAGTTAAATCGATTACTTAAAAATTGGCTTTTCTTGAGGGACAATCACATGGACATGTTTTATACATGCCACAAGTAATAGAGCTTTCCTTACTTTATGGAGACACATGCTTAGTGTGGCGATATGGAGAGCTAGGGTTAAAGCAAAACAACCATGCATGATGATGAAAAAAGCTGGTCGAGGATATATAAAAATATTCCCTAAAAATAACTTGGAATTTCCAGGAACAAAAATGGTTTGAAGAAAAAAATAGGGATTTAGATTTGAGAGAATCATTGATATCTGAGGTGGAAATTTTCTCTGTAGACGTCATGATCTTGATGCACTCAAAATTCGATTTGGTTGCTTTGCTTTTCTCTGAAAAAACAGAAAAGGATGGTGAAGGTAACATTTTCTTGAAGTTTCTAGCAGAAGTCTTGATAAAACGCATGCATGTTGCCCGTTTGTGAAAATAAACTACATATCCTAGCAAAATGAACGTGATCAACGATTTAGAGATAACAATTTGACAACATAATAAATGCATATGGTAAGACAAACACTTCCATCAAATAAAAGTGATTATTCTGGAATATTTCAAGAATGATCAAAATGCATAGTTGTGGAAGGAATTAAAGAAAAAACACTTGAGCAAACCAGGGCCGGGCCGATGGTCCAAACTTATGAGATTGTTGAGAGGAATTTCATGAGAGAGATGTGACAAAATTGGAAACCCAATTGGCAAAGTTCATTGTCATGAGAGGAGAAATGCTGGGTTTGGTCGGGTTGGGAGGTCTGTTTCAGAGGGCCAAGTGGCTGGAGAAGGAAGAAGCAAAATCTAACAAGGGCTAGATCATAGCACTGTGGGAAAAGAGAATGTGTGTCCTAAAGGCCAGCATGCTATATGCATATATCACACCATCTCCATTGGTTTGGTTGGGTGGGACTGGATTCTGCTGGAATCCATGGCTGCCTGTCATTTTGGAAATTTCCAAGTTCCAAGTTGTTGGTTACTCCCCCTAAGAGTCTTAAGACTAAATAACCCTAGCTAGGTACGTACGTAGCTAGCCAAAATAGAAGATGCGAAAACTATAGGGAGTCTCATTGTACTTGTTCATATCTAGAATGCTAACTCTATAGCAACTTCTGAACATGAATTTTGTTTATTGTGTACAATAACAAAAAAAGAGATGAAACTATCATGGGGAACATGTACAAATTTACCATATGACCTCTTATATACTTTATAGAGTTTCTTCATAATACGAGTCTTATTTGATAAATATATAGTTTTCTACATACAGAAATACTATTGCTACAATAAAACTGAATTCCTACTAAAAGGGGCTCGTATAACACACATGCTAACCTAGTAATAACTACTACATTTCACCTAAGTCTGCTGGCATGCAATGCATAAGATCATAAATATAAGGACTTTAAGTAATGTTTTTCAATAAGAAATAATATAAAAATTGGAGGCAAATTGATGGGGCAAGTAGTCAACAGTTAGGCAGCTAACACTACTTCAATCCGCATGCTTTGGCTAGTGGTAGCTGGGGGGATTCACATTGGTCATCTTTCTACAGATAGTGAATTACCATGGTACTCCCAAATATCCTGCTCTCCAAGACTCCAACAACTAGACTTTAGAATCCTTTTCATTTTGGTCCCATCATTCACAGCTCATATCTTTTGCCACAACCATTCACATCCTTTGAAAAAGACATTAAACTTTTTATATCTGTACAAGCCCTTGAGCATCTCAATTTTTTCCTCTCAGAAATTTTATTCCACGGTCATCCAACTACTATATTGAAACCGAGCAACACTTCCCTCTATTATTCTACTTGAGATGATATTTCAAACACATATAAAATTATACCTTTCATGTATGTGAATGTGACAATCAATTCAACTACGAATATTTATACTCTTGTCTCGTTGTATAATCTAACGACATTAATTAATTGTTTATATTGTGTCGAACTATATAAATCGATCGATCAATATGCAATAATCCAAAATCACCAATCAAGTGGCTACACAGGTCTTGAGAGAGCATCAAATAAATCGTGTCACATTCAATGTCTTTAAAAATGGAGTATAAGTGTTACAACGAAAATTTCACCTAAAACTCAAAACATTCCACTTAAAGGTATATAAGGTAGCGTACATACCTAAGTGAATATTAGATCATGCATGAACTCTCCCTCAAGACTCATCAACATCCAATCACCTTTAGCCGACCCCAGGACCTTAAATACGAAATTCAAAAGAATTTTAAGCTAAAATATCATATTTTTAAAGGAAAACTAATGAAAATGGTTTGAAAACTTTGAGTTTTAACGATCAGGATTGACTTTTTGTTAAAGGTAAAATATCATATTTTTAGTGTAAAAATTTAGTTTTTCGTTAAAGTGAACAGTACCAAGAACGTTTCATTAAAGTTATGTATTTTTAATTAGTTTAGGTACTAGTTGAAAAGTCAAATTAATTTGTTAGTGAAAATGACGATAACGTCCAACCCTACAATCATAATTCATAGTCATTAACCTTCCCAATGAACTGTGACAAACGTGCAACTATGTAAGACTATTTTTAGAAGGAAAAATTGTCACGACGTTAGCCGCTTTAGGGCATAGGGTTTAGTTCTAAGATTTTGGGCGCCCAAGGAAATTCTATAACCCTAAACCTAAAATGATCAACCCCAAACCTTAATGGACCTTCTAAAACCTTAAACCCTCAAAGTCAACCCCGGACTTTAAGGGACCTTATGAAATTCTAAAAGAAATAAACTTGAGAAAAAATGGTAATTGCCCATGTCTTTTATTTAGTCATAGGTTCACTTGCAATAAACTTTGTGGCTTATCCTTAAATATTTAATTGGCCTTTGATATTTTTCCTTGAATATAGTATTTTTCCTTAAAACTTATGTTCAACTTGATATTTAATAATCTACCTTACAAAATTGGCATGTTAATCTTTAGCATACAAATATATACATCCATATAATAATTTATGCCCTCAAAACCACAAAGTTCAAATCATGATCATTTTCTATTAGTCATTTGGTCTAGCTAGCTAATAAGCTTTCTCGAGAATAAGTCTCCATCCTAATTATATTTTTTTCACAAACAAAACAAAGATTCCCAGTGTGGGGTTAAAGCCTTAGGGAGAAAATAAAAAATTTAAGGAAAATAAAAACAAGGATTCTCCTATCGGATATATGATATGCCCATAGGTGATTGCTACTGGTCCATGGCTGCATGTCCCAAACACCATGACACTTGTTGTATCCTTATTAAGACTACCCCGCAATCAAGTGGACGCCACCTTACCCTACTATACCCGCATCCAAACATGCCCATAATTTCATTTCTCCAAAATTTAACCTGACGACATTTCATTTTACCTATAAAAACACATACCCAACATCTTACAAACAACGCATTCTCACTCCTCCCTACGAGCTTTTGCCTGCAGTTGTTTAACCTTCTCATCACAAAACATGTCTGGGGTTTGGGTGTTCAAGAATGGCGTCGTCCGGTTGGTGGACGGGGCGGATTCCTTGCAAGGCTCCAACTCTCGGCCACGCAAGGTGCTCGTCCACACTCCAACTGACGAGGTCATCAGCTCTTATGCCGTGCTCGAACGCAAGCTGTACTCACTCGGTTGGGAGAGATACTATGACGATCCAGACCTTCTTCAGTTCCACAAACGATCCACCGTCCATCTCATCTCTCTCCCCAAGGATTTCAACAAGTTCAAGTCCATGCACATGTATGACATTGTTGTTAAAAATCGCAATGTGTTTGAAGTGAGGGACACGTAGTCCTTGGACTAGTTTGTGCAGCGTGCTGGATGTATTTGTGATGACTTTGATTCTGTGCTAATTTGTGTGTGTTTGTAAGTTTTTGGTTTGGAGCTTACTTTTGAATATTGGGTTAGTTTGGATTGGTTTAGGGTTTAGGGAAAGCTAAGTAAGTAAAGTAGTTTAAGGGTGTGTTTGGTGATTGATTGTTACGTTGGGTAATATTACAGTTTGTACAAATTGTTATTATGTATCGTTGTGCAATGAAAATTGGGTCTCGACTCTTGCGTTGTGTTCTTTGTTCCACAGCCTTTTGTTTTCTTCGAGAAGATCAAAAGACAGCAGTTTCACTCCCTTTATACTAAATCTCTACCAAAAAGAGAGGCGAATTTCGTAATGTTTTTAGAGAGGTAAATTCCACAGAAGTTTTGGTCTGCCTTGGTCACTCCCTGCAATCTTTCCAAGTTCGGTCTCTCTTGATCGTTCTGGCTCTGGTTATGGCAGGAGGTTTGGTTGTAATTTTCTCTTTTCTTACCTAAACCCTAATAAATTGTAATGTACAAGGAGCTTATAGATTAATAGCATTTATCCTTCCCATAATATTGATCGTGCATAAAAAAGATCCATTTCAATCCAAAATATTCGAAATGTTTAATTATAGGTTTCACAAATGTCTTGTGGATGAAAAAGATTGATCTAAATGATTGGAAGTGAGTGGAATTTTGAACTTACAAGTGATGTGGAATTTCCATATGGCATATATATCTAGTATTCTTGGCTTTTGATGGTGTCTTGTTGACGTGGAATATGAGAGGAAGGGGCAACGACACGTCGCTTAATTTGCTTTGTATGCTTTCAAGGTATGTTGGGTGTGTCAAGATTTTTCATTTATTCATCAATAATGTTATTCTTACCATATTTTTGTAGAACAATTGTATACCACCTTAGCATGTGGACAACTACATCATCTAAATTAATTAGCATTTAATTTCAAAATGTTAATCAATAATTAATAAAAAGATTGTTAATTAAATGATAATTGTGGTATACGAGGAGTCTCCTTCTTCCACATAAGATTATTTAAGTGTTTTAATTAATAAAAATATTGAAATTAAATGATGTAGCTTGTCCAACTCATCTGCGACCTAAGATGGTAAAGAAATGTGGTATAAAATTGTGGTAAGAATATCATTAATACAACAATATATTTATATTAATTAGGAGAAAACACATAAAGCTAAATTATAAGACTATATTTTAAAGAGAAACAAAGTTTATTATTTATTTTATAGAGGAACAAAACTTATTCATTGTTTATTTTAATTGGCTTTACATTTTCAATTTTACCTCTTTATGTTTAAAGATGGATTTTTTGTCTCCTTATATCTCCTCTTTTTTCTTCGGTACTCTCTATTTTATTCCCTCCTTGCAACCTCTCTCTCCACTACTTCTTCATACTTCTCTTGCTCCTCCTCTTCTCTCTCGTAATATTCCCTGGATTTATGAGAACCATTGATATTTTTAATTTTATTCTAGTTTTTTTTTTTTTTTTTTATTTTGAGGTTTTGATGATTTGGATGCATGAATTTTGAAACTGATCTTGCAAAAATGTTAGAATTTTGAAACTAAATTTGCAAAATTGTTGGAATTTTGAAACTATTCTTACATAAGTGATGAAATTTTGAAATTGGTCCTGTAGAAGTGTAGGAATTTTGAATGATCTTACATAATTGCTTAATTTTGAAACTAATCTTGCACAAGTGCATGAATTGTGAAACTAATCTTGCACAAGTGCATGATTGTGAAACTGATATTGTAGAAGTGCATAAATTGTGAAATTGATTTTCTAGAAGTGCGTGAATTGTGAAACTGATATTGCAAAAGTTCATAAATTGTGAAAACAATCTTACACAAGTGCATGAATTGTGAAACTGATCTTGTATGAGTAAGTTTTTATGGATCTAAAATCAGTTTGAAGTTTCTATAGATGGCGTAGTTTAGGACAAATCTATTGGGGGCACGGCTAAAATTTTGAATTTTTTGTTTGCTTTTTTTAGTCTAGGTTTGTTAAGGTTTGGGTTTTTGTCTCTTCTTGAAATGATTCAAAACTAGTGGAGTTTTATGAAATATATTTTATATTTTTGTCCCCATAGGTAAAAAGCTTCATATCAATTAATGCCTAAGAGACTTAAACCAACCTACACATGAGTAAGCTATAATAATTTAGTTAGAATTCACCTTAAAAAAAAAAAAAATTTAAAACTTATAACTTATAAGAAAAACATCAATAGCTATAATATTAGGGAATTATTTGGCACTACAATACTTCAAGTTTTCTATAGTTTAAAAGGAAAAATACACATGTAAATTATGAGCAATAAATTTTTTATAATGCCAATAATAATGCCCTAATTTTAAACGGCACATGTGTCAAGATTTTAGATGCATGGGTTCTATAAAATACACATGGGAGTTTCATCATGACAAAGTTTGGTCTAACTAAATATAATTTTATTAATCTCGATGTACGACTAGTGGTTTATCATGAATCCATGAAAACCCAATATCATTCGGCTGGGCCAATCATTTGCTTTGCTTACCAACAACGTGGTTCCGCCACGTGTTCAAATACAAGTGGCGGGGTCTATCCTATCAGTAAAATGCATTCAAAATGCCGAAACTGCCCCTATGCACACCGAACAAGTGAAGGCAAATTATGGGGTTTTCCTAGCCCAAAAGTGGAATAATATAGCCAGGCAGGCATGCAAGCTAGCAAGCCGCATATTTTGGGTGACAAAACTAAGATTTTTCTTGAAATATCCTGACTTTATCTGAATAAATGGTAAAATCAACTTTTACTCGAAACCGAAAATTTTGCCAAATATGGAAATATACAACTTTGTCAAATACCCAAAAAAAATTGTTTTGAGTTTTGACTTAGGAAAATATATAAGGAAAACTAACGAAAAGTTCAAAAAAACTTTTGTTTTAATGAAAAATGACGAATAAAGGTGTAGTGAAAAGTACTAGAGAAAGATAAAAATGTGGTTTTTCGTTAAAAATGAACAGTATCAGAAGTGTTTCGTTAAAACTCTCAAATATACAAGCAGAGATGTTATTAGTTTGAATTTCTTTGAGGCATCATGTTGTTATTTATTCAATTTGAATGTCTTTTGATCAAAGACAGTAACATTGAAACGCTAGATTTACATTGAAGTTTACCCTAATGACCGTTCATCTCGTAAATATAGCGATAAGTATATACGCCTATATCTTCATTAATCACCAAGTTAGAATTGTTTCATTAAGTAATTTTTCATAACCAAGTTTGAATTGTTTCATTCACTAATTTTGTTCATTGACTAATCACATAACAGTGTTTTATCTATTTAAATCTCGGCTAATATAATCAAAACGTCATTATTTATAATGTACATACAAGATACTAATGTACAATGCACATGTCATTTAGGATTAAATTTTAGGGTTCGGCATTATGATCAGCACGTCCAAAGTGTAGATTAGGGTTTGGCATTATTATTTTTAACTCTTTAGGATATTCTAAATAGTTTCCCGAGAAATATGAAGCACATGCATGCATGAATCAATTCAAATATTTTGGAGCCATCATCAAGCTGCCATGCATGGAGCGTGTCCAAGCAACATGTGCTATAAAGAAAGGCTATGGAGGAAAGAGATCTCCTGATAAGTATCCTAAGAGCAACTCCATTCTTTAGGTTTAGGGCGATAATTGTTCGGGCTACTGGACAATTGGTAATTATTATCTTAGTCAACAGTAATTGACCATAAAGAAAGGCTATGAAGGAAAGAGATCTCCTGATAAGTATCCTAAGAGCAACTCCATCCTTTAGGTTTAGGGCGATAATTGTTCGGGCTACTGGACAATTGGTAATTATTATCTTAGTCAACAGTAATTGGCCGAGTGCATCTTCATCCTGTAAATAAATTGCTCAAACAATTGTCATTAAAAAATTAATATTACGCTTAATTTCGAATAGGACTTGTAACACGTCATGCATATGTTATTATCCGAAATTACATTTGCCGTGACATCATCCTAACGTCAGACTGTCTCAGGCGATGGTTTGGGCGATTGGGGCCCGATCTTTCTCTTTTTCCCTGTAGCCCGACTAATTGCACATGTACTGGGGCTCATGTACTGGGGCTCATTTTGTTGGTTTTCGTGAATTACATCATCCAATTTTTTCTGGCAATTGGAAGGGGCAGAGTTGCTCTAAAACGAAAGGACTGAGGCGCTAAAAACTCATGTGGATAAGAATATATCAGCATGTGTCTATATAAAAACTCATAATTCATCATAATATTGTAGGTATATATGCCCATCCCTTGTTTGAATGGGGTACAATCACTTTTCGTCGAGTGGTCAGTTCCTTCAAATCAATGGCCTTCTCAACAGTGCCAAAGGCCAATAATAATCGAACAAACCAAAAACCAACTGAGAATAAAGATCGATATATAATATATATATATACACATATATGATGGAGAAGAGCCAGCAATATTGGAGCTCTTTGTTTCTCTTTTTATACCACGTATATTATATATCCAGTGATTATCCACAAATGATGGAGCAAGAGAGATCCTATTTGTCTTTTATGAGTTTGATTTTGACGGCAAGATCAGAGCTTTTGTCATGTCAATGCCATTCAAACCAATTTCATATGAATTGTCAAATAGTTGTTAGAAGATATTATCAATGAATTTACAGAGTCATATGTAACTCCATACCCACTCGGGACTACGTATCGGTATTCAATATATTATCCTTTTGGCTAGAGAAGCAGGGGTGAAGAAAAAAAGAAGAAGTGAGAGTCTGAAATTGTATTGAAATTCAACTTTAAAACTAAAAATCCTCTTACGTAATTATTATGGTTTGGCCAAATCATGACTGACATTGTTCAATTATATTCACGATTTTGATCCTAACTAAATCAAGCCGAAATGTTCCCCCAGTTCTGAGAAATGTTTTCTTTTTTGCTACTTTGTAAGGGAGTTAAATACTTTTTATCAAATACAAGTAATATTCTACACTAAGAGTCATATTAATTAATCACTTACAAAAAAAAATGGAATATTTAACCTAGTTTAATTCTAACTCGTTTATTGACCACGTGACAAAAAAAAAAAAAAATTCACAAAGAAGACCAAATAACTCTATGATTGGTGAGCCAAAAATGATTAAATAATGTAATGACAAATGTATGTTGTT